TTGTCTCCTGATGTACTCTTTTAGATATTTGTCTCCTGATGTACTCTTAGATATTTGTCTCCTGATGTACTCTTTTAGATGGATGGATAGATACTTACCTACTTACTTATCTACTTAATTACCTACTTTTACCTACTTACTAACTTTCTTACTGACTTACTCTTACTTTCTTACATACTTACCTACTTGACTACCTACCTACCTACTTTTTACCTACTTACTTATCTAACTGCCTACTTCCTTACCTATATACTTACCTACTTAACTACTTATCTACTTAATTACCTAATTACCTACCTACTTATCTACTTACTTACTTTCTTACCTATTAACTTACTTACCTACCTACTTACCTGCTTAATTACCTACCTACTTATCTACTTGCCTACTTATCTATTTACTTATCTGCTTAATTACCTACTTATCTACTTACTTGCCTACTTACTTATATACTTACTTGCCTACTTACTAACCTTCTTACTGACTTTTACTTTCTTACCTACTTACCTACTTGACTACATACTACTACTTACTTACTTTTTACCTACTTACTTATCTAACAGCCTACTTCCTTACCTATCTACTTACCTACTTAACTACTTATCTACTTGCCTACTTACCTACTTACTTATCTACTTAATTACTTACTTACTTACCTGCTTATCTACTTATTTACTTACCTAGGTACTTATTTTCCTACTTACTTACTTACCTACTTATATACTTACTTACTCGCCTACTTACTTACCTACTTTTTTACCTACTCACTTACTTTCTTATCTTTTAACTTAATTACCTACCTAAGTACCTGCTTACTTAATTACCCACCTACTTACCTACTTACTCATCTACTTGCCAACATCCGTATCTACTTACCTACCTACTTATCTATTTGCCTACTTACCTATTTACTTATCTACTTAATTACCTACTTACTTACCTAACTACTTACTTACTTACCAACTTATTTACCTACCTAATTACCTACTTACTCATCTACTTACTTGCCTACTTACTTACCTACCGTATTTTTTGCCTTATACGTTGCAGTTTTGTGCATAATTTACATGCCCTGCGACTTATGGGCCGAAGCAACATATTTATGGATTATTTTTTCCCATATTTATAAACTAGTTTTTGGCTGAGACACTGTTTTCATTCATTCTGATAAAAATAAAAACTGAGCAGTACCACTTTCAGCCACTTGATGGCAGCAGAGTAGTAATAGGATATGGCATGCTGTTGTATCTTGTAATAGGTAAACGTGGCTATAATGACAAATTAAAAAAAAGTTTAATACAAAAACAACTGGACTTTATTTTATTTTATTTTTTCTTGAACTTTTTTTTAATTTACCATGTCCTGAATGACTGAGAATCTTCACCAGCTATTAATGACACAATCAGCCTCATAGTGTCCCCACCTTCTTTGTGCTCGCTGCTTGGAACCGTCAAACCCGCTGCATCGCCCCGCCGAAATGCAGCTAATGTGACCGTTAAAGTGCATTTATTCAGCAAACGTTAGACTGAGACACACCTTTGCTATAATCTCGAGCAAACAAATAATTGTTTTTAAGTGTTAATCTTGTTAAGTTCTTGTTAAAGTCCTCACGTGCACGCTCTCGCGGCCGCCATTTGGCAGCCAATCGATTTTTGGCACAACACCGGCCCACGTTTCCAGGTTGTCGTGATGTTACATAATAGATGTGACGTATACGAAGAAGTGACATATTTATGGATTTTTCCACTTTATTTGACAAATATGGACTGATGCAACTTATATGGCTGAACAATGTGTACGGTGGAAAATACGGTACTTTCTTACCTACTTTCTTAGTTACTTTATTTATTCTTTTAATAATTTAATAATTTATTTATTAATCCGGGGATTTGAGGCATCCAGTCTTCTGGCTTGTGTGTGTGTTCTTTAATCTTTTTTTGTTGTATGTCTCTCTTTTGTATTTATAGTCTCTTTTAGCATCCATGTTGTCCTTGGAGTCTCACATCCTTTTGTCCTTTTTTGAGGTTTTCTTATTCGTCCATTTTGTCTGCTTAGGCATTCTTTTTGTCTTCTCATCCTTCTTCTGTCCATCTTTCTGCTCCTTGTCTCTTTTTCTTTAAAGTTCAGATATTATTCAGCTCGCTTTCTTCTTCTTTAAGAAATGTCCGCTGCCATTAAGCACTCACTCTGCCTTTCAGAGAAAAATATTTTATTCCCATCCGTTGATTGTTTAATTTAACAGTAACACAAGGCGGCTGTGGCTGAGCGGTTAGACCAGTCATCCTCCAATAGGAGAGTCGGGGGTTCGATTCCACCAGCAGTCACATCCTGAAGTGTCCCTGTGCAAGACACTGAGCCTCTCATTGCCTCTGATGTGTGTCCCATCGGTGCATGAATGTGATAAAGCTCTGATTATTCTCTCTACAGATCTAGTAGAGTGCTGTATGAATGTGTAAATGACAGAACAGATTGTGTTGTAAAGAGCTTTGAGTGTCTTGATAAGATAGAAAGGAGATATACAAGTACAGTCCATTTACCATTTAATTTTAGAATGGGTGTTCCAGCTGTTGTCTCGCTGTAACCTCACTTTCTTTGGTTGATATCTGTTGAAACTGACGTCCGTTTCTGTCCAGGAGCTGCAGAGGGACATTGAGCAGCACACAGAAGGCGTCGCGTCGGCGCTCAGTCTGTGCGACGCTTTGCTGCGGGACGAAGATGCTGCAGGCGGTGCTGAGGCGGAGAGCGACTCGCTGCAGGATACCAGCCGCAGCCTGGACCAGAGATGGAGAACCGTCTGTGCCTTGGCTCTGGACAGACGGCTCAGGTAAGAACAGTTTTACCTCAGTGAGCTCTTTAATCTTTGCTTTCAGGAACTTACACTCTGGAGTCGAACGTTGATTCATGTCTGTGAATTTTAAAAAGAAGAGTTGAACAAACTAACTTATCCAAAAGTGCGCTGTGACGACAGGATAGCTGTGAAAAAATACTTCCACAGGATGCATTTAGATTATTTCAGGGTTGTTTTGTTTGTTTTTCCACCAAAAAGCAAAAGATGATCCAACTCCCCCCCCTCCCCCCCCTCCCCCACACACACACACAGTCTGTGTTTGGTGTCTCTCTCAGCAAATGTCTCCTGCACAGCTGGACGAACTTTAATGAAACTCTGAAAGTAACCCTTGAGTGGACATCTACAAGTGATACAATTTTAAAATCAGTTTCATTCAAGATGGCTGCCATAGTAATGATACCTTGGAAAACACAAAACTGCTGTTGTTCAGTCAGTTTTACAGCTGTGTGAAACAGCTGCAACTCCCTTTGTCCAGGATTAAATGACCTTAATCTGAAATTCTGGCATGAAGCGCTGCGGGTGATGTGCATCAGAAGGCTGAAGCTTTAATCTTTAGCTTCCTCCAACCGGTTATTTTATTTAGTTTTCGAGAGTTCTTATAAACAGGGTGCATCAATTTATTCTAATTTGTTGGATCTGTGTCTTCCCCATAAACATCTTTTGCTCGATGATCGATTGCTCCTGTAGGATCGAGGAGACGTGGACCCTCTGGTGTAAGTTCCTCAACGACTACTCCCACTTTGAAGATTGGCTCAAGATGGCGGAGAGGACGGCGGCCAACCCCGACTCTGCCGACGTCCTCTTCTCTGTCGCCAGGGAGGAGCTGAAGAAGTTCGAGGTCAGTTCATAAGTTGCCCGAAACCTTTTGGTGTTCCTTCTCAAAGATTAAAAACTTTTATTGTTCTTCATGAACTGTATCGACATGTTGTGAAAAGACTTTGTGCACAAGCTAACCAACGTAATAATATAAGGAATGCACAATCCTCGATGTATTTTAGATTAAACTAAAAACGTTGTATTTCCTGTGAAAATGCTTATTGCTGAAGAACTTGCTGAAAAGCAGCTGAAATTAACTAAAAGCATGCTGGAATGTAGCTGAAATGGAACAATACTAAATTAGCAGAATAAAGCAGAAAGAACACATATTTGCTGAATTGGGTTTAAATCAGCAGAAATGAGCTTTAATAAGCTGAAAATTGTCACAAAAAAAAAAATCTAAAGTAGCTGAAAACGCAGAAAGAAGGGAGTGGAAAAAGCTGAAATGAGCTAAAAAGGTGGAATTAGCTGAAAAAGCTAAAATTAGCATACAAACAGCTGAATAGTAGCTGAAATAGCAGAAATAAGCTGAAAGGAGCATAACATGCTAAAATTAGCATAAAGAAATTAATTGAACAGAAAGTAGTAGGTTACCACAAAAAAATTGAATTGATCAGAAAACAGCTGAATTTAGCTACAAAAAAATAGCTGAAAGGGTAGAAAAAGCTTAAATTGGCAGAAGAAAACGGAAAGAACACGAGTTTGCCTAATTAGACTGAAAGAAGCTGAAATCAGCACAAAAATAGGAAATTATCTGGAAAAAGTAGAAATTAGCCAAAAAAAAGCATCTGAAACGTACAGTAGCTAAAAAAAATAGCAGAAAGAAACTTTATTTCCCAGAGGCGAGTGGAGAGAGCACATTTTCGCTGAATAGGCTGAAAAAAGTTAAATTCAATTCAATTCAAAAATACTTTATTAATCCCAGAGGGAAATTAAGTGTTGTCGTAGCTCATCATCCTGTTTTCATTCAAGAGTTGTTAGATGCTGATAGCTGTGGGCAGGAAGGATCTCCTGCAGCTAATCTGAAGAATCTGGCCACAGGTACCAAACTGTCCACCCAGATCCAGCTTGCTGTCAGATCCGGTGGGCCTCTCTGTCCTCCTGAGAAGCAGGACAGCCCGAATGCCGGGCAGAATTCCTCCCTGAGTCATGGTCCCTCCTCCCAGCAGTCTGCCGAGCTCCTCATCGCCATGGACAGACAGCTGAAGGTGCCCGGGGATGTTTCCAGTCCTTCCAATGTCACGAGCCGAGTTTCCCACCAGCTCCAGAACTCAAGAACAGCTGCCAGGTTGACGGGAATTCGTCCATGGCGCCTCCTTTTCAACTCATTTCGGATTTGGGGCTTTAGTTAAGGGATTTGAGCTTTTGAGATGTTAACCAGCTGCTCCAGGTTGTTAAAAAACACCTTGTTGCCATGGTTACGCATCACAACAAACGCCCAAATGTAGAAAGGTTTCAGTGAAAATCCTTCCAGCTGCAAAACGTTTGATACCAAAGAAAATAATTTTCCGAAAAAAGCGTTTTACATCCAGAAAAAAAGAGGAATTAAAATTTTCAAAAGGGTGCATATAACATGAGTTAGCTGAAAGAAAAAAGCTAAAATGAACATTAAAACAGCTAAATAGTAGCTGAAATAGCAGAAAAAGCTGAAACTTGCATAAATAATCTGAACGGAGCATAACAAACTGAAATTAGCAGAAAGATGTTAGAAGAAGCACAGAAATGTTGCAGTTAGCAGAAAGAATCTGAAAGGAGCACAAAACAGCTGAAAGTAGCTGAGAAAAAGTTTAAATTTGCACAAGGAAGCTGAAAGAAGCTGAACCAGAACAAAATGTGAAAGGAGCAGTAAAAGGATCTAAAGATTTGAAGGATGTAAAATGAGCTCATTTCATTTTCTACGAGGAACAAAATAACAGAAAGAGCTAAATATTTTTAAAAAATCTAAAGTTGCATGAGCTGAACATTTTGATATTTGTTGAAATAGCACAAAATTGTGGAACGAGGAAGACGCTGAAAAACGTACAGAAGAAAAATGGATAGTGTGAACGCTTCATAAACATGCACACTATTATAGATTCTTCCTGGCTGTCTTCAGGGTTTCCAAAGGCAGGTTCAAGAGCGGCTGACTCAGTTGGAGCTCATCAACAACCAGTACCGCCGCCTGGCCCGGGAAAACCGCACCGACGGAGCCAGGCAGCTCAAAGCCGCGGTCAGTGAAGGCAACAGGCGCTGGGACGCCCTGCGCCGAAGAGTGGCCGCCATCCTGCGCAGGCTCAAGGTGTTTACGTTTTCATTAGCAGAGGAACTAATAATGTCGAGAACGTATGGTTTTTATACGGAGCGTTTATTCAAAACAGTTTGGGAGCTCAAAAATAAAAACTCCACTGAAGAATCGATTACTCATCTGCTCACTCCTCTTTTCCATTCGTCTTTTCATGGTTTCTCTCCCAGCATTTTACCGGCCAGAGAGAGGAGTTTGAGGGCACCAGAGAGAGCATGTTGGTGTGGCTGACTGAGCTGGACCTGCAGCTCACCAACGTGGAACATTTCTCCGAGAGCGACGTCCATCACAAGATTCAGCAGCTCAACGTGAGGCGTTTTCATGACCTCGTTCTCCTGAAACATCTGGTTTTATAATCCCACTCAGAACATTGTTTCGGGGCGATATCTCTTCCAGTTTTTTAACAGAAACCTTGTAGAAACGCTCTAAGCAGGCATGTGTTGTCCGTGTGGGTTTCCTGACTCGGTCCCTGTTCCTCCATCCATCCATCACCCTGCAGAGTTTCCAGAAGGAGATCGCTCTGAACACCGAGCGCATTGACGGGCTGATCGTGTTTGGAGAGGCTCTGATCCAGAAGAGTTCACCGCAGGACGCGGCGCTGATAGAGGATGAGCTGGAAGAGCTGCACTTGTACTGTCAGGAGGTTTTCAGCAGGCTGGTCCGCTTCCACCAGCGCCTCAGCCAGCCCCCAGTGAGCCCGACCACACACTTGTTTTTAGATCGTTAGGCATAATTCTTCTGCTTCTAATACAGTTTAAAACCGAGTCAGAACCTTTAGCCTCAGATTAAACGCCCTGAAATAAAAGAAGGAACAATAAATAAACTGACTCTGAGCTGCTGCATAAAGTTTTGTTGGTTTTTGCTCCAGATGGTCAAAAAGGAGTCAGAACTCTCAGATCTCACCTTCTCCCTTGAGCCAAGCTTGGAGCTGATTGGCCGGCCGTGGTTGGGGAGGAGCCTGGGAAGCCTCCCGGCCACGCCCACTCACCTGCTGACCTCTCCTCTGGAGCGTTCTGGACGGGAGTCTCCGGTGAGCGTGGACTCCCTCCCTCTGGAGTGGGACCACACAGGAGACGTCGGAGGGTCGTCATCACATGAGGATGAGGAGGAGGAAGAAGACGAGGAGGGCGGAGCTTATTTCAGTGCTCTGTCAGGTACGTTTGAATTGTCTTTTTTTTAATTAAAGATCTAAGTTCTTACATCTAGCAGATCTTTACTTTTCCTCATTTTTGCTGTAAGCCAAGACTAAATGCAGCTAGAGAAATTGTATTTCTTCCAAAAATTCACTGTAAATGCTTATTGCTGAAGAACAGCTGAAAAACTGCTGAAATTAGCTGAAATGGAAGAACAAGTCTAAGTTAGCAGAAGAAAGCAGAAAGAACACATATTTGCTAAATTTGGTTTAAATAAACAAAAATGAGCGCAAAAAAATTGAAAATTAGCTGAAAACTGAAATTGGCAAAAAAATAGCTGAAAAGGCTGAATGAGGCTTAAATTGCCAGAACTACGTGGAAAGAGCATAATTATGACCATTTAGACTGAAAGAAGCAGAAATGTGCACAAAAAGGGGAAATTATCTGAAAAAAGCAGAAATTTGCAACAACAAAAAACAGCTGAATTGTAGCTAAAAAGCAGAAAGAAGCTTAAATTATCAGAAGGAAATGGAGAGAGCTAATTTTAGTTGAATTAGGTCAAAAATACTTTAAATGAGTGCAAAAAATATAGAATTAGTTGAAAAAGCTAAAATTAGCATAAAAACAGCTAAATAGTAGCTGAAATAGCTGAAACTCGCAGAACAAGCTGAAATTAGCAAAAAGGAGTTAGAAGAGGCACAAACATGTTGTAGTTAGCAGAATAAAGATGAAAGGAGCACAAAACAGTAAAAAAAAAAAAAACTGCTGAAAGTAGCTGAATTATTGTTTTTTTTCCAAAATTGCCTGATTGTCCTGAACGAGCTGAACGTTTTGATTTCTGATTTGTTGAAATGGCACAAAACTTGTGGAACGAGAAAGATGCTGAAAAACGTACAGAATAGATAAAGTAGTCAGAAGAATAATATAAACAGGATCACAATAGTGTGAATAATGTCAAAAAAACAATTTCAGTCCTAAAAAAATGACAATACTTCAACTTTTAAACCTTAAAAAAATACTTTGATCTCACTCCCGAGTCTTTACAGTTTTTTTTTTTTTTTTTTTTTAATGGTTATTGGAAAAACTTCTGACTTTCAAGTGCTTTCGAAGAAATTGGAACAAAATGCTCGGGAAGACGTGGGCACCGACCCGTTTTCTCATGAAAACGGAGCTGAGTGAAGGAACGCCGCGAAGCCTCGGATGCTTTATGAGCCGCCTCGTTGGCTCGGGTCGAAAACATCTCCACCTTCTGCACAGTAAATCCACTCCCGCCCCGCTCCTCTGAGGGGACACGCTGCCAGGAAAGATTCTCCAGTAGTCCATGAATCACGAGCGTCTGCACTGGTGGACTGCAAAGCTCTCCGTTCCTCTGCATACGACCCTCAAAGACCTTTAAGACTTCAAGAGGAACGAGTATTGACCAAGACGATCCGGTGATGTTTTATGATCGGTAAAAGAAAGCGTCTGGATTAACGGTTCATAAAAAAACGTGGACTTTGGAGCGAATATTTAAAATAAATAATAATTTAGTATAATAAGCTCGTTTAAAGCCCATTCATTTGTTTTTTAGAGGTTTATCATCAAGGAGTTCAGGTGAAAAATTTATAAAACCACTTCCTGATCTTGTGCGAAACGACCAAACCAGGACTTGAAACAGATGATTGTGCGGATGAAATCAAAAATCAGATGATTTTTTTTTTTTTTTAAACGAGTCGTTTTATTTAGAGAGAAGCTTTGTGTTTAAACGTGTAAACTTTAGGGCATCAGGGGAAAGACGGTCTAAAGTTTACGTTGCGTATCGTGGTTTGGACCCGTTTCACACCATCTGAACTGGAGCAGCTCGCGATGGATGATGGGAAGTTTTCCAGCAGCAGCAAAGCAACGTTAAAACCAACAAGCCGTTCGACCATAAAAACCACGGAAAAAATAACTTTTAAAATGTTTTGTTTTCAGACTGGAGTCCAACTAAAATGTTGAGGACGGCCCTGAAGCGATCAGCTGAAGACGACTCCATCATCCTGGAGCTCAAGCTTTTTTTCTTCTTCTTCTAATTTATTTTGTTCAGCGTCAATAAAACTGAAACAAACTATTTTCTGATCATGTAACGTTAGTGGGACAAAGACGAGGTATTTTTTTAGAAAATGGCTCACTGAGTGAATACAGTAGACCCTCGATTATCGGGGGGGTTACGTTCCACACACCACCGCGATAAGTGGAAAACAGCGAAGTAGGAACTCTATTTATTTTAGTATTTATATTTTAAGGCTTTATAAACACTTTCCGCACTCTTGCAATGTTCTGAACTCTTTAACCTACGTCATTTGAGCAACATGCGTGTATGTCCTGTGCAGTTCTGTAAAGATTTTACTCGCCAGCTCTGCAGACCAGCAGCAGCTCGTGGTTCTGCTCCGGCTCTGCTCCAGTTTTGTGCAGCCATTGAGCGCCAAAGAGCATTTTGGTGGTGGGGGGGTCCTTCAGGTGGCCGGCGCGGGACCGGTGGTCCAATAAAAAGTTCCGGTGTGCTCCAGAGAGTATAGCTGGACCTTCGGTGGTGCCTCCCCCACTCGGAAGTCCTCATGGGCCAGCTACCAACTCTCGGATTCGCCGATGGGTCTGGAGGTCTGGTTCTGGTCTGGTTCTCGGTGGGTTCTGTGCGTCTCTCTCCGCTGGATGCCGAAGTCACTGTATAGTAATAAGCAACGGACTTTTTCCCGATCAGATCAGAACTTTCCCTCAGCGTCCAACAATGGTCAGCCAGGTCATCGGGACGGTTTCTTTTTTTTTTTTTTTTTTTTTTTGAGACGTTTCGCCCTCCATCCGAAGAGCTTCATCAGACGGCCCCCAGAAACCATCTTATCACCAGCAAACTGGTTGGTCCACTATAGGAGTGTGCTGCTCAGTGGAGAAAACGGTATGTTTGAGACTCCCCAGACTGATGAAGTCCTTCGGATGGAGGGTGAAACGTCTCAACAAAATAAAGAAACCATCCAGATGACCTGACTGAACATTGTTGGATTTTTTTACCTGGATTATTGAGCATGAACTTTGATTTCTCTCTACGTATTGCAGCAGAAGGAAATGGGGCTTCTAGGTGAGGCACTGTTGGCTTCTGGGAAATGTAGTCCTTATGAACGAGGATACAGTGTAGGCTTATTGAGAGAAAACTACAAAATGGCGGTGCCTGTCTGAAGTATTTTATTTTTTCGTTAACTTTTTACTGTACAGTATCGCGTGAGTAACATTAAAGTTGAGAATCGTGTGTTGTGTACAATTTTTTTTACCTCGTGTTCAATTTTACTTTGAAAAACGGCGAAAGTCGAACCGCGAAGTATCGAGGGACTACTGTAGTTCTTTTTGACTGGCGTTATAGTGTAGGCTTATTGAAAGAAAACTACAAAATGGCGGCGCCCGTCCAAAGTGTTTTTTTTTTTTTTTCCATTACTTTTTATCTCGTACCGTCTCGATCACGTGAGTAAAATTAAAAGTTGACAATCGTTGAAAAACCGCGAAAGAGCGAGTCCTCGAAAGTCAAAATGCGAAGAAGCGAGGGACCGCTGTACTTTCTTATGTTGTGAGACAAAGTCAAAGTATTTTTTTATAAAATGGTTCATTGAGTGAATACAAACTTTTGAATATTTTGTTTTGGTTCTTTTATCCGTTTGAATCGACATGTTCCTCCTTCATCTAAACCTTCTTCTGTGGCCGCATCATGTGTCTCAGCTTCAAGCAGGTCTCTGTCTCTTCATGACGGTCCAGGGTGGAGGTCAGCAGAGGCTCAGCTGGACACGGAGGACACGGCGGACGCTGAGACCACGCCCACCCTCACCAGCACTCCTTTACAGCCCGATTACGTACGTCTCAAAGCCTGACGCCGTGCAGCTGCTGCTCCAGATGTTGGCTCTGAACGTGTTCTTGTTGTTTCCAGCTGAGTCTCGCGTCTGAGGTCAGCGGCACCATCGAGGACGTAAAGGGAGTCGCGCTGGTCCTGGATGGCGAGGAGCAGCGGGAGGAGTTTGGTCTGAACACCTCGGACAGTCCGTCGGGTATGATCACAAGGAGGCGTTTTGAGTTTAGGAAAAGTTTTGCTGAAATTAGAACTATATTCAAACTAAAGGAATTTAATTTTCTGCAAGAAAAAAATGAATGTTTAATGACTGTTGAAGGTAATAGACAATAAACTGTTGAAACTAAAACAAGAAGCTAAAATCAGTTGAACTGTAGATTTAAAAAAAAAAAGCTTAACTTTGGCTAAAACCTAATACTAAAACAGTAGCTACAATCTAAGACAGACAAAACTGTAGCTAAAAGTTAAAATAGAGAAAACCATTGTTAAAAGCTAAAACTTAGCCTGAAAAGCTACAATTGGCACAAATGTAGCTAAAAGCTCAAGGACCGAAATAGTAGCTGAAAGCTATAAAACGGTAGCTAAAAGGAAAAAATAGCTAATCTGTAGGTCTGTACCTCTGAAGATGCTACAGATTTGTCTCGTTTTCTCATGGTGAACATTTTGGTCACTAAAGGTAAGTAACCCAGAAAGTATAAAAAAAATACAAATATCAAAAGTCACTATCCCAGATCGAGTTTTGATAACTGAGTGGTTAAAATAGCACAAAGGAAATGGTAAATGGACTGTACTTATACAGCACGTTACTATCTTATCAAAGTACTCGAAGCTCTTTACAACAATCTGCCTCATTTACTCATTAGAGCTTTGTCACATTCAGGCACCGATGGGACACACATCAGAGGCAACGAGGGGTTCAGTGTCTTGCTCAGGGACACTTCGGCATGTAGACTGCTGGTGGAATCGAACCCCCAACTCTTGCGTTGGAGGACGACTGCTCTAACCACTCAGCCACAGCCGCCCCCGTAGTTTGACTGAAAAACCTGTTTGTAAGACCTAAACCAGAAACACGAGTCGGTTCACGGATGAAAAAAGACTAAATCTAAACTCATTCTGACACAAACTTGTTTTGGAGTCATTTGAAGGAATCGGGCTAAATCCTGCAGAACGCCGTACACGGACCCACTAATCTTATCGTGTGAATGTTTATGATTCTACTGTGATCCGTTTTTTCTCGTCCCGCAGTCTTCAAGCTATTCCAACACATCAGCTCTTTCAGGACAATCCTGCCATGACTTTAGCTTTTTGAAATATTTAGCCTTTTCTGCCATTTTTTTCAAAAAGAAAATGAATTGAGCTCTTTTTTTATCCTTCATAGCTACTGTTTAGCTGTTTGTTGCAAATAGCAGACGTGTTCTTTCTGCTTTCTTCTGCTAATTTAAGCTAGTTCTAACTTTGCTGATACTTTTTTTTCTCGTGGTAATTTCTGCTAATTTCAGCCCGTCTTTATTCTAATTTTAGCTTATGCTCCTTTCAGCTTATTTCTGCTAGTTTCAGCTTTTTCCAATATTTCAGGTACTATTTAGCCATTTTTATGTTTACCCGTAATTTAGCTTTTTCAGCTAATTCCACATTTTTGGAGCTCATTTCAACTCCATCTATTTTCTTCTGGTAGTTTAAGCTTCTTTCCAACGTTTCAGTTACTTTCAGCTATTTTTTTTTTCTAATTTCTGCTTATTTAAAGCTAATTAAGCAAATACTGTATGTGTTCTTTCTGCTTCCTTTTGATATTTTAGGCTTGTTCTTCCATTTCAGCATGTTTTAGCTAATTTCAGCTGTTTTTCAGCAAGTTCTTCTGCAATAAGCATTCACACTGTCTTTTTGCAGGAAATACAATTTCTCTATTTACATTTATTTTTAAAATGATCCATGTGAAAATCAAGATGCTCAGTTAAAATGTTTTAATCAGTAATCACAAGAGTACACAAAGTATACAATACTATAACCAACAAAAGGTATAAAACACATAAAATGTGAATTTTATTTTATTCCAAATATTTACAGTTATATCTGTAATGAACTTGTCTACCATCGTCTTTTTGTTTTTTACTGTACATTAAAACAGTTCTGTGCAGACTACACGCAGTACTAATATCCATGTATTAATATTTACTGTAGTTTACTGTTCTTGGGTCTAATCAGAGGATGTTTGTGCTCTCAGGTGTGATCGAACGCCAGGAGCCGCTTCAGGCTCAGTCCAGGTGCAGCCAGTCTCAGGAGCCTGATCTGGATGACATCACTTCCTGGTTAGAGAACACGATCCCTGAGCTGGACCGCCTCCTGCGGTCCGACCCAGCGGTCAGTATAAAGGACATGGAAGCTAAAGCCAAAGAACTGAAGGTATCATTTATGTCAAAATGTTGGAGTGGATCTTTATTTTTATTCTTAGTAGTTTTCAACCTTTTATGAGTTTTGTTTGTTTGTTTCCTCAGGAGAAGGAGAGAGTGTTCTCCCACTACAAGTCCATAATGCAGATGATCAACCTGAAGACCAAGGATGCTCCAGAACATCAGGAGAAACAGGCGAGAGTGAACAGAAACTGGAGCAAAGCTTGTGCCAGACTCCAGCAGTGGGACAGCAGCCTGAGGAAGGCGCTGATCCGCTGCCAGGTGAGACGAAGCCCCAAAGATTCACGTCGGACGGAAACAAACAAGTGAAACAACATTTAGCTCCGACTTGTTGTGCACCATAAAGCTGTTCTCTGCATTGATCCAAACCTGGAAAATACTAAAAATAGAGGGAGGAGCTGAAAGAATAAATAAAAGTTGCTCTTTGTGCACACATGCAAAGCTGAACCAACAACAGTGCTGACTTTGAAACTGTTTACTTTTAAGAAGCTGCGAGGTTTTACTTCTGCTGATAGGAACCAGTTCCCAGTGGTCCAAAGCGTCGTTATGTTTATTTGTCGTATTCAGGTTAACAAAGGGTCGACAATGCAATGAAATGTTCAGGATGAGAAGAACTGATGTGACTCGCTCAAAACAACAACAAAAGAACTAGTAAAGCATGCAAAAAGGGTACAAAATAAAGTACAGTAGTCCCTCGTTTATCGCAGGGGATCCGCACCCTGAAGCCCCGCGGTAAGTGAAAAACTGCAACGTAGGGATAGTAGTACAAGTAGTAGTTTATTTTAGTGTGTATATATGTGTATATTTATATATATAAAGGTGTTTTAAACCCGTCCCACACTTACAATATTTTAACAATGTTTCTAAACTCTAAAGCTCTAAAAGAGCACAGAATGTCATGATTTCCGTCTCTGCCACCTGCAAGCGCTCTTGGCCACGCCCACTTCTCCGCTCTGCACGGTGAGTAGTTGATCAGCTGCAGCAGGCTGCTTTTTCTGCAGTTCTGGGCTGCACAAATGTGCAGCAGGTGCTAAATACTTTTAAATAAAAATTTCATGCCGATCGTGCGGCTCATCCATCGTGTGTCATGTCCAACCTTATTTTGAAAAACAGCGATGGAGCGAGTCCACGATAAATGAACCGCAAAGTAACGAGGGACTACTGTACCCAAAAGTGAAAAATATAATGTTTACAAGGTCCAAAAGAAACATGGTAAACACCAACATGGTAGAATATAACGGTGCAAGTAGGATGAATTTGTATGAATAAGTATTTCAAGATAGTAATATTAGCTTAAATGCACATGTGTATTGCACATTAACAAACTACACAGGTTGTGTGATAGATTACTGCACAGGTAGTAACACAGATGAATTATGGTGGTACGGTAGTGACATACATGATACAGCCACATAAACATAATTAGGTGTCACTGATATGACTTGGTGCAAAGTTATTATTAATTGTTCAATATTATTATCAAGAGTTCAGTAATCTGACAGCTTGTGGATAATAACTGTCTAAGTCTTTGCGGGCACGACTGCAGACATCATCTGTCTGAGGGTAGTAGACGGAAGAGTTGTTGTGCTGGGTGGGTGTGGTCCTTAATGATGCTGCGTGCTTTACGCAGACATCGGCTGTGGTAGAAGTCCTGGACGGTGTGGAGACTGCGACCAGTGCTGTTTGCACCACCCTCCTGTCAGCACATTACAGCGCTGCGGTTTAGTTTTTATTGCTGCGAAGCCTCTTCCGTCGTGGAATCAAGAGCTTGTTTCTACTTTTATTCTAAAACATCTTTATAGACCGTGCTCCATGCTGGAGTGTAACTGCACTCAACTTCAGTTTCCTTACTTTGTCTCCCAGCTGCAGTGATGAGTCATTTTATATTTAACTTCTGAGTTAGTTTTGCACTAAATTAAAACTACAAAAATATATTTTTGACTCCAGAGACCATAATCCAGTTTTCCTTCTTCACCTCAGTTTATCTAAAGATTTTTTTATTTTTTTTTTTACACCCAAAAGGAACTGTGTTCGGCTCTCAGAAGTTTTTGTCCTCCGTTGTGGAGCTAAAAGAAGGAATTAAAAAATGCTTCTGTTCGCAGTGCACGAGTTCACGTTGTGAGCATGAGATGTGCTATAAATGATTAAAGGTTTCCACAGTTTGATGCACCTCTGCACTGATTAGCGTTATATTTTTTTTAAAACATCCTAATCTTGTTATTGACGCGCTGCCAGGTTCAGAAATCCGTTCCGCACCACGTTTTACTACCATTCCACAACGTTCGTCTCTTCCTGCCAAATCTTTTTGGAAACGCGCAGCTGTTGTAAAAACTCTAAATGAGCCCCATAAACAATAAAGCGTTTGATATGTAGTCCTCGTACCACCGTTCAACTGACGGTTGGCTTTAAAGACGTCGAAACCTCGAGCCTCGCTGTGAGAAACCACCTTTAACCGTTGTTTCTCCTTCAGGAGTTTCATGGAAGCCTCCACTCTCTGCTGCTGTGGTTGGCTCGCACAGAGAGCAGATGTTGCTCCGTGGACGTTAACCGCCCGGAGACGAGCGTCGGAGCGCTGCGGCGACACAACAACACGCTGACGGTAAGCTCCCGTTAGCGCCGCTGCTTCTTTGGTTTGGACTGTGAGGTGGTGTTAGAAGGTCAGGTGAGACCATTACCGTTTCTGCACTCGCTCAATGCGGACACATTTTCCTCTCCCTCTCCTGTTCTCCTCTTCCTCCTGCTGTTTTCCTCTCCGTCTGTGTCTCGGAGCTCCTGGTACACATCTTCCAGATGAAAAATACTATTATGGATCTGGTCAGCTGGACTTCCAACTCAATCGACAAAATCTTTTCAACAAAGTGACAGGGTCCTGGAGAGACCTCGCGTCACGCTGCAGGATACGTCATGGACCCGTGGGGAGTTAGGGAACTGATGTCTTTCAGTTCTGTCTCAGGAGACGCCGAAGACGTTTATATCATTGGATTCATGATGGCAGGGTTCCTGCTTTTTGGCATCGGTGGGTTTCTGTTATCTGCTTTTGAGGAAGGGATCGGCAGCAGTTTCAGCCATGACAAAACTGCCGAGTCTATGTGAAAGTTTGGTTCGTGCTTCGAGTACTCAAAATCAGCTGATTTATGAGCTAAACCATAAGATGGAAGCGATTTGTGAGAAGCGCAGGCCACCTGCAGCTTCTAGGACTCGCCAGCATGTTGGAGTCGACCTTGAAGGAGGCTCATAGCACGGACCAGTGGAATGCTCATAAATCTGGACATTTTGGATCTGGAAAGTTCCAGCAGGACTCAAGGCTGACAAGAAAAAACCGTCTGCCTGAAGAAAATCAACAATTGTAGCTTATCTGAATTAGGAATGTGCGATATGGCATAAAATTCATATCACGATATGTATTGTGAAGGGTGGCCATAACGATATATATCGCAATATGTTTTTGGTATAAAACTTAATAGGAATTTTAAAAAAGCATAGGATGTCCTTTTGCCATCGTATATTTTGAATTTTAAAAAAAATTCCACTACTAGGTCCAGAGAATTTTTAAATAATAAACAAATTAAGTATTAGGCTTCTTTCTTGTAGTGCAAAAGATATCAAATGTAGTTTTAGCCACATGTTTTAAACAAAAGAATGTTGTTAACTCTTAACAGTTTCCAGTCTTTAAGAAATGAACAGCATTTTACACTGAAACACTTCACCCTCCAACCCTCTAGTGGGCGACTCCTTCTGCTTTAATGGAGCTGATTTATCAGAACTGGACCGGCTGACCAACATCTTATCAGGACTATGGTCAATCTGGAAGTGCTTCGTGGACAAATCTCACCGCCTTGACGTCACATGTATATGAAATGATTGATGGTAGTTTTTATGTCTTAAATCGTGTCCTGATAGGACAAGATGTGAAGAGATCTTTTTTGTAACACCACTATCCATCCTCGTGGCCTTTTAACTTTTTCTATCTAAAAAGTTTTCTGATAAAGAATAAGAGACTGTGCTCCTGTTGCAACGTGCACTCCGCCCATCTTTCGGACGACTGTACGAACATAATCTCACTGTATCTCGGTACAATGATCATCAAACTGATTGTGATGGTGTGGTGCAGGAGCTGCAGGTGGAGCTGCGGGGCAGGCAGACCCAGCAGGCCTCCCTTCAGGCTCTGTGGTCTCTGCTCCGGCCTGACGACGATGCCGAGGACGCCCAGGAGAAGCTCCAGGTGACGGGCAACAAGCTGAAGCAGCTCGTGAAGCTGGTGGAGCAGAACCTTCGCACCCTGCAGCAGCGGCTGGTAAAATGTCCAGAACCTTATCTCTGCTTAACGGGGAAAATCAAATCAAAGTGTCGTAAAGTTAATTATTCGTCTTTAATTCAGGATTCGGAGTCTGCAGCAGCCGTCCGTGGTTCAGACACGCCGCAGAAGGTCGCACGTTTACGCAAAGGATCCTCCACTCAGAGGTACGCAGAGCAGCAGCATCTCCCACTGTCCAAGGTCCTCGTTTGAACCGTTAGCAAAATATCTCTTGACCCAGAGATGAATGTGATCAGAACTCTTAAAGTGATCAGTAAATGTAGATCTACAACACAAACATCGACCTTCTGGGGTCTAGATATGTTCACGTCTACTTCCTGTTTGCTGAAATGGGCTCGGTCTAAACCGTGTTCATCTCTGCGCGTCTCAGCTGCTCTGCTCTCATTCTGACACTGCACGTTGAGGACGTTCTGCTATCACGACACAAAATACCAATAAAACCAGTTTGTAAATACATTTTCATGTAAAATTCAACATAAAGGACCCAAAGACTCCAGTTGAAACCAGCCTTGAATGTGGCCTGATTTTTGGACAGCTCAGTGGATTAGTGGTTTGCACTGTTGCCTCACAGCAGGGGGAGTGGTGGCGCAGAGGTTAGAGAAGGTGGGCCATAAGGTCGCTGGTTCAATTCCCCATACTAACATCAAAATGTGGGTGGTATAGGTGAAGCACCCTCACCTGCCTCGTTTGCCCAGGGTTCTTTCTGCGTGGAGTTTGAATGTTTTGTTTGTTTGTTTTCCCGGTTGCTCCAGTTTCCTCCTACAGTACACAACATGTTAGTCTGCCTTCAGGCCTACCCTGCAAGAGATCTGTGATCTCAGTGGGGTTTGCCTGATTAAATAAAGGTTAGTTATAATACTTTGACACATGCACATCCGTAACTCTGAAAAGGTTTAGGCACTAAACAAATGTCTAAAACTCAACTTACAGATTTAAGCTTGTTGTGATAGTAGCCGAGAGTCAGGCGCCGACGCTTCATCGTTTAATTCAGCGTTTGTCTAAAACGGCTGATCGCCGAGTCTTTCGCCTGCTAATGATGTCATCGGCTCTGTGGTTGTGGAGCTCGTGTTTTACTACAACTGCACGTTTTCTGTGTCCTGCAGAGAAGACGGAGAGTCCTCCCCACCTCGCTCCTTCTTGTGCCGCCTCCTGCGTGCCGCCGTCCTCCTGCTGCTGCTCCTCCTGCTCCTCCCCTGCCTGATCCCCCTGTCGGACCGCGGCCCCGGCTGCACCGTGACCAACAACTTCGCACGGTCCTTCTACCCCATGCTGCACTACACAAACGGCCCCCCGCCCACATGAGCCGTTGGAAAACACGAACCGTGCAACTTCATGTTGGAAAATTATCTACAACTTTTATTTATGATCAAATTGTAAAGATCTGACATTGAGGGGGGCGGGGACTAATTTTTAGCTTGAAATAATGAAACAGTTTTATAACTATTTAAATGTTTGTTTTTTAATTTTAAGACAATATACAGATTTCATGCTGGCTTCTTCTTAAGGCCTCAAAATGTAATTTATTTAAGTCAGAGGACGTTGCAAAGTTTAGACAAAAAAAAAAAAAACATTTGTAGAAACTACACTGGTATTTTATCACCTTAATGGTTTTGAAAGTGCTGCAGAACCGTGCCAGCACCAAACGGACACTCGTGTCTACATCAGAGGCAGATGAAGATTTAGTGTCTTCAACATCAAACCTTCAACATCTGCGCTGCAGCAGCTCAGACCTTCAGGGTAAAAATGAAAAACTGATCATGAACTCTCCTGATGCTGATCAATAATCCAGGTAGATAAATCTAACAAGGTTGAGTCAGGTCCTCTGGACGGATTCTTCTTTGGTGAAACATTTCATCTTTTATCCAAAAGACTTCTTGAGACTTAACTCATTTATCCTAAAGACTTTCAGTCTGAAGAAGTCTTTTTATCAAAGAGACTTCTTGAGACTGAACAAGTCTTTTTATCAAAGA